AAAGCAAGCAGTTCCCAACACCATAACTGATATTCTTTATCCCCCTCCTCCACGACCCATTTTATATACATTTTTTTTCCTTGGCCAGTATTTCAGCCTTTCAGGATTCCTTGCCTAGTGGAATGATCTAGACCTTCATCTCTAGGGGATGGAGGCCTTGGTTGCCTCACTCCGTCAGACCATAATTACTGCATTTGCGTGTTTTCTGTTATTCACCAGGAATAGAAGCACCCAAGGATGCTCTGAGTCCTTTGAGTTGAAGGCTCTTCCCTGGTACATAATGTATTAGCAATCATATCTCTTCATTATAAACAAAGTCAATTATCCCTGACAGTAAAGCAACTCCTTCCCTTGCTGTTGGCTCATGAACCTGAGAAGTTCGAAGTGACCAGGCATTAGTTATAGTTCTAGCTTCAGTGGAACATTATTATGTGCCTGGTCAAAGTACTCCCTACTCCCTAAGAACCTCTAATCCAGCAGAACTCAAGATTCTGCAAGTGGGCCCAAGAGAGCAGTGCTGAGAGTTGACAATCCCTTGGTTCCTGGATCTGTGCAGTGCGTTTGTGAGAAACAGCACCATATGTCATGTAATTGGCAAATGCATATCATATCCTCAAGGTCTCTGCAGCAACCCAATTGGACATTGTCTCCAATTGCAGCTTAGCCAAATCTTTCCAAAATCTATCAAGCTGATGCTCTGGGGAATATGGTATATAATAGGATCAGTGCACTTCATGGGCATACGCCCACTGTCATGTGCCCTTTTGTTGTAAAATGGCTCCTTCAGTCTGTAGTAGTGTTACATAGGATCCCATGTTGGTAAACCACATTATATAAGCACTTCAAGAATGCTCTGCCCAAAAATCTGTAGACAGAAAAGTTAGACCCTTAGCTAAAGTAAGTGTCAGAGACTAATTACTGTCCCTCCAGGATTGAAAGGAATAATCAATTTTTCTAAGAAGCTAGTTGATCTTTTCAAGGGGTACTATATTAAGAACATAGCTGTGGTCTTTGTTGCTTCCCAGGTCAGTTTCAGCAATTGCAGTAGTGAGGTTGGCCACAGTGAGAGAGAACCTAGGATGTTGAGCCCATGCAAAGCTTCCAATCCTGCCAACATGGCTACTCTGTAACGTGAGCACATTGTGTAAGCACTGGGTCATCTGAGAAGAGTTATTCATTCCATCTGACTGTTGAGTATTTCCTTGGTGTTGGGTATTTTCTGGTAGGTATTAAATCAAAACACAATTATCCACACTCTTTGTGCTCATTCCCAGAAATCCATTCACATGCGTCTTACCCGACCTCCTTGACTCTGATTTTACATTTTTGCTGCTTTCAGGACATAATTAATCAGCCAAGTGATTTGTCCCTGCCCATTCCCCTACTGGGGTTGGAAACAACAATATAAAAATTCTCATTTGGAGAGAATTCTCTGTAAAGGGGAGCAGAGATGTGGAGTAACAGTTAAAAAGAGAAAAGGGATCAAGATGACATTTTTTTTTAAAATATTTTATTATTTATTTATCTTTAGAGGGGAAGTGGGGGAAGGAGAGAGGGAGAGAAACATCAATGTATGGTTGCCTTTTGTGCGTCCCCTGCTGGGAACTGGCCTGCAGGGAACCGGCCTGCAACCCAGGCATGTGCCCTGACTGGGAATCGAACCGCGATCGTGTGGTTCGCAGGCCCGCGCTCAATCCACTGAGCTACACCAGCCAGGGCTCAAGATGACATTTTTAAGATAAGAGGAAATCAGAGTGTATCAGTATGATGATGGAGGTAATCCAATGGAAATAAAAAATTATGGTGCAGTACACAAAGAAGAGAATCACCGAAGGTGGATTACGGTAGCTTTGAGGTGCACTACAAAGGCAGCTATTATTTGAAGAGACATTATGATAGTTTTTAATTATTTTTATATCAATTCAATGGGTCAGTACAAATTAGTTAAGAAACATGTATTAAACATCTAATAGGAGCTAAGAACATGCTATTTCTAAGGATATGGAGATAAATAACTTATTAAGAAGTTTGGGGAGATGATTGTGGAAAAGTTAATTACAATTGAATGTAAGAAGTTCTATAATAGGATGAATAGAAGAATTTTAATTTTGATATACTCAAATAACTGCTTAGATATGAGTTTAACTATAAAAGGTATACAACTTTGCAACAGCATGGATGGAACTGGAGAGCATTATGCTAAGTGAAATAAGCCAGGTGGTGAGGGACAAATACCATATGATCTCACCTTTAACTGGAACATAATCAACAAAAGAAAAAAACAAATAAAATACAACCAGAGACATTGAAATTAAGAACAATCTGACAGTAACCAGAGGGGAGGGGAGAGGGAATAAAGGGGGGAAGGGTTTTCAGGAACAACTATAAAGGACACATGGACAAAACCAAGGGGGAGGGTGGAAGCAAGGGAGGGAAGTGCATTTGGCTGGGGTGGGGGGGGAGTGGTGGGGGAAAATGCAGATAACTGTAATTGAACAACAATAAAATAATTTAAAAATAAAAAAAATAAAAGGCATACAACTAAGCAATTAAGGACTTTTAAAAAGTCCTGAATTTTTTATCTGCTGTTCGTGTACTTGTTGGGAAGAAGCAAAAGAGGAACTAATTCTTTTTCATTTGTCCTCTTTCTTTTCTCACTGTAAAATGGATAGAGAGGTGACGTAAATGCAAATGTGGTTATAAAAAGTTACAATTATGAATAATTGGTACTGTCAATTACAGATCCTGGTAAAGTGCTGGTATGTAGAATCATTAAGATAATTGGCAGACAAATGTTACAAAATCAGATACTGCTTTCCAAGGAGATTATTAGGAGGGAATAGCACCATAATAGGGAAAATGAAGCTGACTTTATTTGGGCTTTACTGTGTTTCACTAGGCATGCATTATGCATAAAACTGCACAGTATGGGTCGATTTCCAGGTTTACTTTGAGAAAGAATGAAGAGCATAACTCTGGGAAGAAAAAAGTAAGCCTAAAGCCAGAAAACAGTTTCACATTTTGAAGAGTTGTTTTGTAGTTCTGCTACCTATACCACTGACAAGTAACATCTTCACAGGAGAACAGGGTGAGGGCCAAAGGGAGCTGACTCTGGGCAGTATGACAGGGGCGTTTGGGAGTAACCAGAGCTTCTCAGAGACAAGCCAGCACCCATCTTCTTCCCTGTATCCAATCAACCTCACTAAACTGCTCCCATGTTCCACAAAAGAGTACACTCTTTTGAAGTTTTAAAGAGTAGCAGTAATTTTTATAGTCTTCCAATTTTATTAGGTATAAAATATTGTTTTTCTTCTTATGATATAAACTATATTTTATTTATATATGTAATTCATATAACCATTGAAAGAAGTTAGAGATGTCCAGCCTACATATTATATTTTTTAAACATTTAATTAAATGTTTAAAAAATTTGGAGCCAGTATTATTGTTTTTTTTCATGTCTATAATTTACACTACCAGAGGCCCTTAAAAATATCATAACTCTAGCCCTGACAAGGTGGCTTAGTTGGTTGGAGCACCATCCCAAAGACCAAAATGTTGTGGGTTCTATCCCTGGTCAGGGCCCATACGTAGGTTGCAGGTTCAATCACCAGTCAGGGTGCATACAGAAGGCAACTGATCTCTCTCTCTTTCCCTTTCTCTCTCTAGAAATCAGTGAACATATCCTTGGATGATAATTAAAAAAAAAACCTTAAAAAATGGCATAACTCTAGGTACTTTGCCAATGGTGACTAGTGGATAAAATTTAGATGGTACACAACAAAAATCATGGATTCTTCTTTTTCCTCATTTAAGAATGCCTCTCTCATCTCAGGATTATAAAGTTATTTTATATGTTCATTTAATTAATCTGGAATTCATTTGTGTATAGTGTAGAAAGGAAACCTAATTTTTGTATGTATGTATATCAAATTGCTTCATCTGTTGATTGTTAGTGGAACGTGCTACAGAGACTGTTTATGTCAAGTCAGGCAATTAGCTGTCAGGGTAAAAAAAAGAGGTCAGGTACTTCTAACTGAAGGTATCCCCTCAAAATTCATATGTTGAAACCCAAATCTCCAATATGACAGTATTTGAAAACGGGACCTTTGGGAGGTAATTAGGTCATGTGGGTGGAGTCCTCCTGATGGATTAGTGTCCTTTAAAGAAAAGGCTTGAGAGAGCTCAATTCCTCTCTCCTTTCTCTGCATCGTCTCCATGTGAGGAGACAGCGAAATGGCCATCTGCAAACCAGGAAGAAAGCCCCCTCCTTGATCTTCTCCACCCCTCACCAACAAAGAATTATCTGGTTTAAAATATTAGCAATGCTTAAGCTGAGAAACCTTGGCGTAGGGGCATGGTCAGCCTGCTTTCTCACTGTGAACCCCATATATCAATAGCCAGAGGATGGTTCTCTGGTGTGTGCAGTTAGTTTCTCCAGGGAAGAATCTTCCAGTCTCCTACTAGAAGGTGTAAACCTAGATGCTCATGTTTAGAGTGAGGCAAAGAAGGGGAGCTGGCAGGGTTCTTGAGCTTTAATATGTAGACTTTTGTTTAAAGTCCTGTTTTCACTCTTGTACTTCACCTCACCATTCTCTTTGTAGGTATACTCTCTGGTTCCAAGTTCTCCAGAGGGATGGTCACCAGGCTGAGAGATGCGGGAATGAAGATGTGAGGATGTTTCCCTATTACAGTAATATTTTCCAACAATATTATTATTATTAACACTCATCCTTACCTGTCAAGGTAGTGGTATCTCCACTTTTTAAGTCATACTGGAGTTCAGTGAGTTAAATTGATTTACATTTGGCCAGTATCACCTCTGCAAGCACTTAGGTTTGACCTCCTGGGATTCTGCTAAGTCATTTATCGCTCCTCAGTCTCATTTCCCTCCTAGAATAATGTGGTTTGGGGTTACAGATGTTTCCCAGATTAGAGAATAAAATTTAAGTTTCTGTTTCTTGTTCTCCATGTGAGAAGAATGCATTGGAAATGTCTTTAAGAAGGAAGCAATCGGAACTTCTATGCCAAATTGCAGAAAACTTTTATTCTCTCCATCTTTAGTTGCTTCAAGTTCACAATTTAAAAATGAAGTGTGTGCTCCTTTGCAATATGCCAATAGAAGCTCTCCAAATTTCTCTTCTGAACACTCATGCCTCCATCACATCTCTACTACAGTTATTCTTTTATGTGCAATGAGGGCAAAAGTAATGAATAAACGCTTTGGAAGTCCGGAGGTGAAATGAATACTTTGACAGAATGAAGGAGGTTTGAGAGGGGTGAGTCTTTGCTTGAAATTTAAAGACTGAGTGGCATTTGGCTGTCGGAAAAGAAGTAGAAGAAGGAAGCAAGGTGGAATGGATTAGACAAAGCTAAAAAGTGTGGAGATGTGAAAGAACTGTTAAGAAGAAGAATAATGGCTGACTATTATTTGTGCCTAACTAGGAAACTCATCTAATTCTCATGTTAATCCTGTAAGGAATATAAAGTGATTACCATGTTCCTCCTTACACGTATGAGGAAACTAAGACACAAACGAGAGTTAGCCACTTGCCCTAGGTCCCTCAGCTAGCAAGAGACAGAGCAGGGATCCAGACCCAGGCAGTGCAGTGCCACAGAGTGTGCTCTTAATGACCAAAGTAGACTTCGCCTCAGTGAGGAGCATCACTAGTGAGAATGATGAGTGGTGCTGGGAGATAGGAGCGGTGAGGAACTTGGGAGCCAGTTTGTTAAGGAGTCTTGTATGACAGCCTCATTTATTTCTGGGTATGTATTATACTCAACTACTTAATTCTTTCCAAGTTTGTGTAAATGTAAATAATGTAAAGACTATCATTTAAATTTTCTTCCGATATTAAAAGTAATACAGCATAGAAAATGGAGAAAAGTAGAATAAAAGTCACCACAAAATTGTAAAATATTTCCTTTTCAAATTTTTATCTGTGCACATATTCATCCTGAGGAAGTATTAGAGATGATGAACTTTATGTATAAGGATGCTTATTATATCATTAAAATTAAAAACAATATAATTATTCAAAAGAAACTGATGCTTAAATTTGTTACAGATTATCATATCCATAAAAGAGATTATTTTGTAGTCATGGTAAGTTATTACAGCATTACATTTTCTGGTAACAGCCTTATTGAGATATATTTCATGTACCTTAACATTCACCCATTTAAAGTATAGAATTCATTTTACTATGATATTTCTAAATGTGATATCTCTGTTTATTGTATTTGGAGTTCTTTGCACTTCTAAGATATGTAGATTAATGTTTTCATCAACTTTGGGAAATTTTTAGTTATTATTTCTTTTAGTATTTTTTCATGTGCTCTCTCCCCTTGCCTTCTGATACTCCCATTACACATATGTTGCTCTGCTTAATTGTATCCCACTTTTCTCTGAGGCTGTTTGTTTTGCTTCATTTTCTTTTTTCTGCTCTTTGGATTGTATAATCTATAATGATGTATCTTCAAACCTGTTGATTCTAACTTCCGCCAGCTTACGTATACTATTGAGCCCCTCTAGTTGAATTTTTATTTCAACTATTGTGTTTTCTAACTCCAGAATTTTGATTTGCTCCTTTTTAAAAAATTTCTTTCTCCTTGATGAAACACTGTCATCCTACTTCCCTTTATTTCTTTAAGCAAGGCTTCCTTTGGTTCTTTGAGCATTACTTAAAATGAATTCTTTGAAGTCTTTATCTATTAAATCTGACTTCTGGGTATGCTCATAGGCAGATTCTGTACTTGTTTTCTTTCCCATATATGGGTCATACTTCCTGTTTTCTTTTTTTTCTTGCATGTCTCATAATTTTTGTTGGAAACTGGGTATTTTAGGAACTACATTGTAGCAACATTGGATTCTGTTGTTTCTCATTCCAGAGTTTGTTTTTGTTATTTGCTTGTTTATTTGTTTAGTAACTTGGCTGGACTATTTAATCAAGTCTATTTCCTCATAATATAAGGCCTGTATGTTGCCTCTTAGAGGGCATATCCCTGGGCATGTGTGCAGTCACCCTGAGTTTAATTGCTGGCTGACTACCTTACTGTGTTCAGTGTTATGGACCATACATTCTTCCATAGTCTGCCCCAATTACATTCATGTTCATCTGCAGGGGTAGTTTGGAGACCAATCTCTAGCTGGCCAAATTTAGCTTCTTGCTCTCCAGTGCTACCAGCTTTCTGTTAATTGCTTACCACCAAATTCTCTGTTGTTTTCAAAAGCACCTTTAGGCTTGAATTTCTTCACTCTGTATTTCAGATAAAGTCAGTTCCTCTGGGTAGTACTTCAGAGCTCTCTTTTCTTAGGCACTGCCTGCCTCCTGGGCAAAATCTCTAAGCCATTGCTCCAGAGCTGAGAGCAGAGATCCCAGCCTACTTGTATCAGAGTGATACCTCTGATGTATGAGTATGTGTGGCAGGGACGGGATATCCTCCAGTGAGGTCAGTTGGGATCCCACTGTTTTCTGCCTGCTGTGCCTGGGATAGAGTTTTCACCTCCTGTGTGAAGGCTGGATACAGGAAGGGAGCCTCCACCCTCTTAGCTGTAATCCCTAGGGATTTCGCCTCTGCAATTTGGAACTAAGAGGATGAGAAATGCTGGTGGACCTGCTTTTCCCAGGGAGATAACCAATTCCTTGGCCAGGAGCTGAGGGTAGGGGCAGTCTTATCCTTTTGGCCATATCTACCTAGACTGGCACTTGTATCACTCTGAGCTGTGGGTGGGAAGGGAGAAAATGAGTCAAGTGCCATAAACTCGCTGTTCTCATGGATACTTAGATTTTTTTCTTTTCTTTTTTCATTGTTGACACTACTACAGATATCCCCCATCCCCTCTCCCCCACTTTGTCCACCTCCACCCAGCCCCTCCTCCTCTGGCCTCACCACACTATCGTCTGCGTCCATGTGTATATATATTTAGGTTTTCTTGAGTAAGTGTTTCTTCATTTGCTGTGTGTATGCATGTAGGCCAATTTCCAAAGACCTCAAATAGTTGTTTGTTTGTGTCATAATTTTCACAAGATATGGTTGTTTTGCTGGGGAGTGGGTCCATGGTCAAAATTCTTTCTCCATTTCAGAAGTGGAACTCCCAACACTCATTACATTTCTGGAGACTATTTAATTACATGAGAAAATATTCATGGCATAACAGCCGATAAAAGCACAATCTTAAATATTTCCAGTATAGCACCAAATTTTGTATGTTATATATATTTATAGGGGTTTTTGAATATACACTTGTCAATATGTTTGTCAACCCATTATGTGACAGCCCAAGGTCATATGGTTAGTAAATGGTGTACGTCAATTCTCTTAACCTTTCCAATAATCTGTTTGCAGATGTTCAAAGATTTGACTTAGAGTATACTAATGGTTAGTGTAACATTTTTCTATGAGTATGACTTTTAGAGTTGTAGCCAGCCACAAAGCCGGAGAGCAGATTGAGAGGAATTTATGATATGAGGTGACATTTAGACAGCTGGAGAGTGGTTGTTTGAAGATCTAAAAAGATTCAGGAGCAATCATGCAGTAAAGAGACTAGTTTAAATCAGTCAGGATTAACACAGGGAGTGGGGGGAGGTGGTTTGTAGAATTCCATCTACCGAAATCAACCTATAATTATGAAAAAAGTAAAGCTGAAGAAAAAAGAGTAATGGTAAAACAAAGCCAGGGAAAAAGCATTTGAATTTTCTCTTGTCACAGCTCTTCCCTTCACAACCCTGCATCCTTGGGGCTCTGTCCCCACCTGGAATCTCTCCCTGACAGGTGACAGTGTCTGTGTCTCATGGTCAGCACAGTCACCTCAGCTTCTTTCCAGGTAAAAGTCCTTCCAACCAAATGGAGTTTAGAATTAAATTTAGATATAATAAAAGTAATCAACCCACAAATAATCCTTTTGTGTAAAGTATACAAGTAAGTACTGAGGTAATCTATTGTATTTATTAAACTGTAATGCTTAAGAGAAGCTAACAGATTACCCATATGCTTTTGGCTTTTTACCTGCATTATTGATTTCAGACTTATAATTTTAAGTTAATAAGCATAGGAATTCAGCTAATTTATAAATAGTTTTTATGTTTGGGGTATACCTTGAGATTCACTACATATTTTTGCATTGTTTTTATTGGCTTAAGCAATTGTTTTGCTTATAAAGATTTAGTTTATCTTGTCAAGCACTTGAAGTCTTAAGAGAGAAGAGTAAATATATAAAATATAGTTAAAATATTTAAGAAAGTGACTAAATAACTTGGGAAATTAACTAAGTTTATAAATGGGAATTATTATTAAAAAGAATTTAGCCTGTTTAGCTTGAGTTAATCAAATATTGGTTAAATAATAAATAAAAATGAGTCTTAGCCAGCATGGCTCAGTTGGTTGGAGCATTATCCTGTAGACCAAAAGGCTGTAGGTCCACTTACCAGTCAGGGGACATAACGTAGGTTGTGAATTCGATGCCCCTGGTTGGGGTACATGTGGCAGGCAACTGCTGAATGCTTCACATTAATGATTCTCTCTATCTCTCTCTAAAAAACAATGAGCAAATGTGCTGGGGTGAGGATAAAAAAAAGAATAAATAAAAATGATTCATATTTTATTAGAATATTAAATAGGTTAGCATGGCTCGCAAATTACACTTAAAATGCTAGAAAATTGGGTTTTAAATTTTGCAATGTTAATAAGTAAATATTATTTTAAACCAAGGTAATTGTAAATAGTTCTTTCTCTGCACAAAGGCCGCTCTTGGATCTTAAAAGTCTGCACATCGACACAGTTTTAGTCTAGATGAATAGAGTCTTTATGTAGAAATTCACTGCTTATGCAACATATAGCATTTGTCTAGACAGGGACAAGAAATTGGTTAATGCCAAATATGAAGCAAGGAATGGGTTCCAAGAACTTGTGGTATACTCTGGTTATTGGAAGGGATTTTCTCTAAGGCCCTCGCCATTCTATCCCTTGTGTAACATTATTACTTAAAATCACTTTTTCCTTCCCAGTCAGGGCACATGCCTGGGTTGCAGGCCAGGTCTCTAGTAGGGGGCGTGTGAGAGGCAACTACACATTGATATTTCTCACCCTGCCTTTCTCCCTCCCTTCCCCCTCTCTAAAAGTAAATAAATAAAATCTGTAAAAAACCACTTTTTCCTGACTATAAAGAGAAATATGTCCTTGGATGAAGGCAAACAAAGACATCCCATTTGGCAGGTTAGGTTACTCTAACAATGGAATGGAACTTGGCACAGCTTGGAAGATTGTTGACCACATGGTG